AACCAAGGGAGGCCTACTGGCTGAGCATGGATTACTGGGAAGAACTGGGGGCTGCCCAGCCACAGACTTCTATTTCTTTTCCTGAAATATGGTACCCCAGACTGGGCAAAGGGGGGAAGGAAGGACTGTGGGTGTTTTAAGGGACATTGGGATTTTGATGAAGACATTAGGTCATTACTTTAAGTCTGTATAGCATTAAATAAATATTTGCTTTCCTTTTCACGAATCTCTGGCATTGAGAAACATCTTTCCTCTGGTGGCGGACATAACGAACCTGGGGGTTCCTTTTGGGTAATAGTATATTGCCCTTGGCCCCCCCTGTTCAGTAACACAGAGGCCTGCAGATGTGCAGGCACAGTCACCAGCATGTGCGCAGACACATATATCATCAGCACCTCCTAAAAGTTCGATGTGGCCCTGGCTGGTATGGCTCCGTAGATTGAGTGCCAGACTGCAAACCAAAGGGTTGCTGGTTTGATTTCCAGTGAGGAATGGAAATCAAACATGCTTGGGTTGCTGGCCAGGTTCCCAGTAGGGTGTGCTTGAGAGGTAACCACACATTGATGTTTCTCTCTCTTGCTCCCTTCCCCTCTCTCTAAAGATGGATAAATAAAATCTTAAAAAAAAAATAAACAAACCAATGTGCCTTGTTTCTGTATAATTGAAAGAGAGTTATAAAATAGACACCAGTAAATTATTCATTCCCAATACCTTTGAGCCCAATTTAGAAGTAGAGTTGAAATACTGTAAACTAATCTTTCATATTTAATTATTTTCATCTTGCCTTGTAGAAAAATTTTCTAAATCTGTTTTTTTTTCATGATTTAAGATCATTTAAAGAGGAAAAATAGTTTAGGTCTTACTTAAAGTTTTTAAAATTGATTTTAGAGAGGAAGGGATGGAGAGAGAAGTATTGATTAGTTGTTCCAGTTAGTGATGCATTCTTTGGTTATTCTTGTATGTGCCCTGGCCAGGGCTAGAACCTGTAACCTTCATGTGTCAGGATGATGTTCTAACCAACAGAGCTACCCACCCAGGGCCTCCTTGAAGTTTTGACTGGCTTACAGAATCAGCAGATTCCTCAATTCTTAAAGATATTTTTCAGGGAGAAATGGTAGCATTGCCATGGCTTTTTTGGTGCCAGAGGGCTGCGTTCAGGTGAATGAGGGTCCTTTCACTGCATTTGCCCGAGTCTCTGCTCTACCAGGTTCCCGATTGGCATGTTCATTGGCCTTTTGATGTTCCATTTCAGTCCATCAGGCATTGCCTCCATGTTCTCTGTTCATAACTGCTGAGTACTGGCTGCTTAACCCTGACACCCATGAGCCATCAATAAGCAGCGCTCCTTTCAGACACCAAGCACTTCAGTCTCCCAAACTGTTCCAGTCCTTTCCCCTCTGCCAGAAATGTCAGCATGGACGACAGCAGCTGCTTGTTGTGGTCACGGCCACCACAACAGATTTCTATTGGCCACTGACAATATACATATACTATTGATATTCATATTTCAGTGATATATCATTGATATACATGCATGTCACTGGTATTAGATCTCTAATGTACATAATTGTAATATCTGTCTTGTTTTAACACACTGCTGATATGAAAAACAATGACAAAAGCATTTTTTTGGAATATTTCTAGAACTTTCTCAGTTATAATTAGTGAGTAGGTTCTAATTTTCATAAGTCATTGCATTATCACTGGTTACTCTTAACATGAAGCCAATAGAATTTGTTTGCTAGCAGTATTATGCTCTACTAGGTTTTTATATAATTCGGGCCAGGCCTCATTTAGCTAATTAGAAAAGTATTTATTTAAAAATGATCAAAATTCTACATATTTATTCAAATAAGTGATGATTCTCCAGCAAGGAAAAAGAGAGATAAATAAAACGTGGGTTCTGTCTTCCAGTAACTCACAGTGTGTGGGAGAGGTGGTCCCAGAGCAGAGCTGGTAGTGGCAGAGTTAGCAGGAAGCAGTTTCTAGAATGCTTACTAAGAATGTGGCTCTGGGAGAGATGCTCCAGTTTTGTCAGCAATTGAAGAGTTAATGTAGGAGCAGATAAATATTTATCTTTGGTCTTTCAAAGCTAATAGGCTTCCTCTTTGATGTATGAAACTTACCAAGCCTGCCGTTTCCTTCAGTTATTCTTCTGACCCTCTCCTTCCATGTAAAACAAAACATGTCCCTGGCTGGCATAGCTCAGTGGATTGAGCTGGGGCTGCAAACCAAAGTGTCGCAGGTTCGATTCCCAGTCAGGGTACATGCCTGGGTTGCAGGCCATGACGCCCAGCAACCACACATTGATTTTTTCTCTCTCTCTCTCTGTCCCCCTTCCTTCCCTCTCTAAAAATAAAAATAAATAAAACCTTAAAAAACAAAACAAAAAACAAAACATGTACAATTGGAGGCTTGTGCTCTGTTTTTTCTCTTCTCACCACCTTCTTTTATTAACTTCCTATAATCTGCTCTTCACCAGAGGACCTCTTATTCCATTGTCCTCTCAAGGTGTCTTAAGTGACCAGGATATATGTCCTCCTGCCAATAAAATATGCAAAACATAACTTCTAATAATATGCAAAAGCAAGCTTTTATTTTAATTCATTATTTATGTTTTATTGAATTTATTGAGTGGAATTGGTTAATAACATTTTATAAGTTTTCAAATGCACCATTCAACAATACATCGTCTTTTTATTGTATTGTGTGTTCATCATCCAAAGTCTCCATCACCATTTATAGCCCTTTCTACTCATCTGTGATGCCCCACCTCCTTTTTCCTGTGATAATCTCTCTATACTGTTGTTTGTGCCTATGAAGTATTTCTTTATTTTTTATTGTTTTTTCTTAATCCCTTTACCTACTTTTCCCAGCCACACAATGCCTACCCACTCTGAAATTTGCCAGTTTGTCCTCTGTATATAGGAACCTATTTCTCTATTGTTGGTTTAGTTTGTTCAGTAGGTTTCATATATAGATAAAATCATGTGGTATAGGGAACTGATCTGCCTGGCAGTGGCTAATGTAGCCCAGCCCTGGTTCAGAAAGCTGGCAGGAACGAGGCAGCACACAGGAGCCAGGCCCACAAATTGGCTTTCCCCTGGGGAACCAGGCCTATATTGTACCTAGGCTGCTTTGAGGCTTGCTTTTGCTAAAACTCCTTCACCCTGAATTGAGGCAGCAAATGTTTACAGCATGTCTTTGCAGTAACTTCCTAAAGTCTGTGCTAAACCTCCCAAGGATAGAGTGTTACCAGTTCAACCGCTTTCCCCCTTGCTTTTGCAACATCCTTTTCTTTGAAGTAATCAGCAACATCCTTTCCTTTGTTATCTGTAAAAGGTAATCACCTAAAGAGAACCTGTGCATAGTAAATGCGCACCATCCTCTGTGTAATGTGACCAGAAAAGCAATAAAAACTTGTCCAGGCAAGGGTCGGGGCATTCTCTCTCACTCAGAGAGTGGCCATGCCATCCTTCTTTCTCCACAGGACTTCTGCTGTCCATGTGAATTTATTTGTTGCAGCCACAACACACGGACCCTGCTGGTCAGCATCTGCATCAATGTGGTACTTGTCTTTCTCTGATGGGACTATTTCATATAGCATAATACTCTTCAGGTCTATCCACAGTATAGCTAAAGTACATTCCATATTTATTTATTTATTTTTTATATGGCTGGGCAGTATTTTTCTACTGTGTAAATGTACCACAGCTTTATTATCCACTCGTCTCCTGATGGGCACTAGGGCTGCTTCCAAATCTTGGCTATTATAAATAACGCTGCCAAGAGTCAAGGGCTGCGTGTGTTCCTTTGAATCAGTGTTTCAGGTTCCATTGCATACATTCCCAGAAGTGAAATCTCCAGGTCATAAGTCAGTCCCATTTTAAGTTTTTTGAGGAAATCCCACGCTGCTTTCCACCGTGGCTGCGCCAACCTGCCTTTTCACCAACATTGCATGAGGGTTTCCTCTCCTTCACATCCTTGTCAATACTTGTTTGTTGATTTATTGATGACAATCATTTTGACAGGTGTGAGGTGAGATCTCATAGGGGATTTAATTTTCATTTTCTGATAATTAGTGATATTGAACATCTTTTCAGATATTTATGGTCATTTGTGTGTCCTCTTCAGAAAAGTGTCTATTCAGGTCTTTGGCTCATATTTTTTTTAATCAGTCATTTGTTTTTTGGTGTTGAGTTCTAGTAGTTGTTATAAATTTTGAATAGTAATCCCTTATCATATAGAACATTGGTAAACATGTTCTCCCATTCAGTGAGTTATCTTTTCATTTTGTTGACAGTTTCCTTGGCTGTATGGAAGCTTTCAGTTTGATACACTCCCATTGTTTAAGTTTTATCCATTTTTATTTTTATGTCTGTTGCCCAGGGATATATATCAGAAAATATATTGCTACAAGAAATGTCTGAGATTTTACTGCTTATGTTTATTTCTAGGATTTTTATGGTGTTAAGACTTTCATTTAAGTATTTAATCTACTTTGAGTCTAATCTTGTGTATAGTGTAAGAATGCCTAGGTCTATTATTTTTCATGTATATGTTCAATTTTCCCAACACAATTTATTGAATAGACTGTCTTCACCCCACTGTATGTTCTTGCTTTTGGTCAGATATTTTTTGACCAAATAGGTGTGGTTTTCCTTCTTGTTCTCTATTCTGTTCCATTGATCTATATATCTGTTTTATGCTTTAGAATTCATTATTTTACTATAACAAACCCTTATATTTTGTCACAAATCTTTTATGAATGAAAAACTAAATAATTTTATTTCATAAATAAGTGATAAATGGATAAGATTGAACCTATGACTGTGATATTTTGAGGACTGTCAGTCACACATGTGTTATAAAAAAATCTAGACATCACCTCAAGGAGAAGTAAGAGACGTGCATGTCCCACCAGAGGTGACCATCATGAGTGGATTGGTGGCTCTCTCAGGGTCCACTGTTCTCATTCTGTTTGTCTGTCTCTCTCACAGGAAGCATTATCGTCACATATGTGTGTCTGCCTGAGGAAATCACATGTATGTGGTCTACCAGGTAGGACCCTGGATGCACACCCTTGGTGCATGTGTCTCCCCTGAGAAGACTTCTGACGTCTTTATCTGATGGCACGTAGAGACCCTTCCATCTGCTTTAGAGCTGCTCAACTCGCCTTGTCCGTGTGGACCAGGATTCGTGGATGCATCCTCTCTCCATGGACATTGGTGTCTTTCCCAGGTCCAGGCAATTTCCCCAGTGCTCTGATGGGTAGCCAGGAAAATACGTCTGTGAAAAATTGTGCAGGAAGTGCTGTGGGGAGACCTCTTAGCATGAGCACTGCCAGGGGCACGTGTGCACCTGTGGAACTAGGATGGGTCCTGTGCACTGTTCTCCCAGAGGAGGGGCCTTTCCCCCTTCCCTCCAGGGGATCAGCTGGGGCCTCTGCTTCCTCGCTGTATCCCCATGGCTGGTCACCACCAGACCAGAAGCCTGCCAGCCTGAGGGTGACAGTGCTCTGTTCCCAGTGTTGACAGTGCACGTGTTCCCATCATAGAGGCCGGGCATCTGTGACATGCAGACAGGTGTGCAGTGCCTCTCTCCGGCAGTACATGTGCACTCTCTGTCCCTTTAGAAAACATGGACTTGAGAGACTTTGCTGTACCACAGGTATGAGACAATTCACTGGCCTCCTGTTGCTGAGGAATGCCATCCAGCTTGTCTTTGTCCTTCCAGATTGCTGCATTTTCTCCTCTTGTCTGGGCACAGGATGAGGCAGCCACTGCCTGACTTCCTTGTGGCCCTCAGATCATACTTAGCAGTGCAGTCGCTATCCTGAGATTATGTATATGCTTACCAAATAAGCTTAGTTGTTTTTTGTTTGTTTGTATGTTTCATTTTATTTTAAGATTTTATTTATTTTCAGAGAAAGGAGAAGCAAGAGTGAAAGACAGGGAGAGAAACATTAATGTGCAAGAGAAACATTGATTGCTTACCTCTTGTTTGCCCACAAAAGGAGACCTAGCCTGCAACCTAGGCATATGCCCTGACAGGCAATCAAACTGGCAGCCATTTGGTTTGCAGGACAGTGCTCAATCCACTGCTCACACCAGCGAGGACAGAGCTTAATTTTTTATATGTGATCTTATCCTTCTGGGAATTTCCTCTTAAATGACAAAAATATGTGAGCAAACAGAAAAAGGCACCTGTTGTAACATTCCACTTATAGGAAATGTCCAGAATAACTTAAAAAAAAAAAGACACAGAAAGCACATCAGGGGTTGCCAGGGGAAGAGGTGTGGGGAGTGAGTACTTTTGCTGCAGGTTTCTTTTTTGGCAGATGGAACATCCTGCACCTGGTCAGTGGTGAGGCTTGCACAGTGTCATGAGTGTATATCATGCTCAGAAGTAGCACAATTTACAACATAAACAATAAAATTTATTTAATAGTTTGAATTAATCATGCTGTGGAGAAATGGAAAATACAACAATTAAACAGTATAAAAGGAGAAGGTCAAACAGGGGAGGTAACACAACTTCGGGTGGGAGTGGGAGAACCGGAGGGATAATACGCAGCTCCAGAACTGGCCCAGGTGCACTTTGCAGAGCCAGCTCCTCCCCAGTGGTGGCAACCAGGGCAGGTTCCAGGGAGGACTCTTCACGCACATGGAGTGGGGCGTCTGTTATATCAGCAGATGCTGCAGAACCCAACCCCAGCTCCACAGCTGCAGCTGGAGCAGCTACTTGAGGTGGCACCACCCCTTGAGGTGGGCCGCTCCCCTGGCCTGGAGTGTCATGCTGGTCTGACCCTGTAGCTGGCTCTTCCAGGTGTTGGACAGGTGCTGAATCAGGAACCTGCTCTGCCTCCTGGGCTCCTATTAGAGTTGTGAGAGGAGAAAAGATTACCCACATGCCCACATGTCCATGTCCCCCCCAACAGATGGAACATAGCCAGAGCCTTCTAGAGAAGCCACAGCCCAGGACCCAGCACAGGACGTGATCCCCACAGACAGTCCAGCAGATGGGTGGCCTTAGTCTGGTCTGCACTCCAGTGCAGCCTTAGCAGGTGCTCCCTGTGTGTCAGCGCCAACCCCTTCCCATAAACTTACTTGTACCTCACCCACTACACACACCCACCTCTTCCGCCTTCTCACCCTTTGGATCTTCCTCCTTGGAAACCACCTCATTGAACTCAGGAGCAGTAACCAGGACTGATTCTGAAAACATGATCTCTGTGTGGAGCCTGGGTGACTTCAGGGGAGGAGTCTTTCTTCGCCCATCCATGGGCCCTGGATCCCCAGACCCATGTGTAGAGACAAGGCTGGAGACCTCATGTACTGCCTGTTGGTCCTCAAGGACCCTTGTTGAACTCTGTAATGACAATGACCAACAGCCCAACCCAAGGCCTCAAGCTCTGACTGTCCCTAGTTGCTGCTATTCCTGCCCACTATACCTTCTGCTCCAGAATCAGGCCCAGCCCTGTGTCTGCACAAACTCACACCTGGGGCAATGAGGTTCACTTCCCAGGCTGTGTATGAACTTCAGGCAGAGGACTCTACCTATACTCCACATGAACCCAGCCAGCTTTGACCTGGGGTTGAACATGACAGGCCTACTAGAATACTAATCTACTTCAGCTTGTACCTGCTCAGGGAATCCTCTGACACACATGTGCATGCACAGGTACGTAACATATAGGGTTGCTGAGGTGGGATCATAGTGGCCTGGCCCAAACCAAACCTCCCTAGGATCCCTGTGTGTTACCTTTCTATTCCCCTGTGAAAAGGGCCACAGATGTTGGCGCTGGGTCTGGATCCAGCAGCAGCTGCGATGGGCCACGCCATCACCGTCTCTTCTCTGGAGGCCTTGGCCTCGGGATAGGGGCAGACAACAAGCAAACATCCTGCTGCATGAAATACATCCACCTAAGTGAGCTGGGGAGAGGCAGTTTGAGAATGTGGCTGCCTGGTTACCAGGGTTCCAAGTTCTGCTGGGCTCTGTTATCAGGAAGTGAGGTCACTGCTTGGGTCCCCTACCCAGAGCATCTCTGGGACAGGCAGTGGCCCCTGCCTGAGAAACCCTCCCCCAAACCTGTCCTGCTTCCTGCCACAGTGGAGGGTTATCTCTGGAACATGTCTCAGGATCACTTCTAGAGTCACTTGTTGAACCAATACTTTCTGTCTGACCAGAATTGGCTTACTTGCCCCTCTGTGACTTTTTAATTTTTTTCTGTTTATTTTCTTTACAGTATGATTTAGTATGTTATCATCAGAAGTTACTGTTTTTATTTTAAATTGTGCCACTCCGGAGCATGATGCACTATCAGATGCTGTGCAAGCGTCACCACTGTGCAGCTGCAGGGTGTTCCATCTCCCCAAAAGGAAACCTGCCCCACAAAGATACAGTCCTTCTCCTCCCCACCCTGCCAGCCCCTGCTGTGCTTTCTGTCTCTGCTCCATCACCTACTCTGGACAATTTGATGAACAGGATCTTATAGTAGGCGCCTTTTTGTTTCTGGTCACATATGTTTGTTATTATCTGAGATACAGTTTCTGTTATTTAAAGGAACTTTCCAGACAGAATAGAGAGCAGTTGAAAGAAAAGAAGCCCTTTTGTAAGTTTGTGCATAATCTCAGGGTAGGGATGTATGTTCTAAATGAGACACAGAGTCAGAAGTCAGTTAAGACTATTCCAAGAATTTCAAGAGGTTGAAAGAACCCAAAGCTCATTTTGCAAGTCCAGCATTATGCTAATTCTAAAACCAGATAAAAATGAAGAAAAAATTATAGGACCATATTTTTGATTCATGGAAGCTATAATAACAAAATATTAGCAAACTGCTCAAGCATTACATTAAAAAATCATACACTGTTTCCAAGTGGGATTTATTCTGGACATGCAAGTTTGGTACAATATACACACATCAAAAATCATGAGACACCACATAAACAAAATGAATCATAAAGTTCAAGTGATCATTTCAATAGATTTCAAAAGGCAGTTGATAGAATCCAGCAGCCATTTATGATGAAAACTCTCAGCAAAGTGGGAATACAGGGAACATACGTCAACATGCTTTTGAAAAAGTTTGTTTTCCCTTTATTTTCTTTACAGTGTGATTTATCATAAATAAAAATTTTGTTTATATTTTAACTGTGCCATTCTTTTTAAAAATATATTTTATTGATTATGCTATTACAGTTGTCCCATTCCCCCCTTCACTCCCCTCCACCCTGTACCCCCTCTCCCACCCACATTCCCCCCCTTTAGTTCATGTCCATGTGTCATAAGTTCTTTAGCTTCTACATTTCCCGTACTATTCTTGCCCTCCCCCTGTCTATTTTCTACCCACTATCTATGCTACTTATTCTCTGTATCTTTTTTCCCCTCTCTCCTCCTCCCACTCCCCTGTTGCTAACATATGATCTCCATTTCTGTGGTTCTGTTCCTGGTCTAGTTGTTTGCTTAGTTTGTCTTTGTTTTAGGTGTGGTTGTTAATAGTTGTGAGTTTGCTGTCATTTTACTATACATGTTTTTGATCTTCTTTTTCTTTTTTTTTAATTTTTAAAAACAATTTTTAAATTTATTTTTAGAGAGGGAAGGGAGGGAGAAAGAGAGAGAGAGAGAAACATCAATGTGCAGTTGCTGGGGGCTGTGGGCTGCAACCCAGGTATGTGGCCTGACTGGGAATCAAACCTGCGACACTTTGGTTCACAGCCTGCGCTCAATCCACTGAGCTATGCCAGCCAGGGCTGATCTTCTTTTTCTTAGATAAGTCCCTTTAACATTTCATAAAATAAGGGCTTGGTGATGATGAACTCCTTGAACTTGACCTTATCTGAGAAGCACTTTATCTGCCCTTCAATTCTAAATGAAAGCTTTGTTGGGTAGAGCAATCTGAGATATAGGTCCCTGCCGTGCCTTGTCTTTCATGACTTGGAATACTTCTTTCCAGCCCCTTCTTGCCTGCAAGATCTCTTTTGAGAAATCAGCTGACAGTCTGATGGGAACTCCTTTGTAGATTACTGTCCCCTTATCTCTTGCTGCTTCTAGGATTCTCTCCTTTATTTTTACCTTGGCTAATGTAATTATGATGTGCTTTGGTGTGTTCCTTCTTGGGTCCAACTTCTTTGGGACTCTCTGACCTTCCTGGACTTCCTGGAAGTCTATTTCCTTTGCCAGAATGGGGAAGTTCTCCTTTATTATTTGTTCAAATACGTTTTCAATTTGTTGCTCTTCCTCTTCCCCTTCTGATACCCCTATAATTCAGATGTTGGAATGTTTCAAGATGTCCTGGAGGTTCCTAAACTTCTCCTCATTTTTTAAAATTCTTATTTCTCCATTCTTTTCTGTTTGGTTGTTTCTTTCTTCCTTTTGGTCCACTCTATTGTTTTGAGTCCCAGTTTCCTTTTCATCACTATTGGTTCCCTGTGCATTTTCCTTCATTTCTTTTATCATAACCTTGCATTTGTTCATCTAATTTGCAACCAAAATCAACCAATTCTGTGAGCTTCCTGATCACCAGTGTTTTGAACTGTGCATCTGATAGGTTGGCTATCTCTCAGTTGCTTAAAAGGATGAGTTCTGGGGAATTGATTTGTTCTTCTGTTTGAGCCATCTGTCTTTTTCTTTTTTTTTTTTTTTTTTGGTCTGGTCACTCCTGTTATGGTGAGGGGTTGAGCCTTAGGTGTTCACCAGGGCTGGGCACCCCAGTGGCTAGATTGTGATGTTGTATGTGAGGGCGGGGTCAAGAGGGAACCATGGTGGTTGCTCTGTTCTCCATGGGACCTCAGTCCCTTCTCTGGGATCCTGGGTTGCACGCTCTGCCCTGCTCCACAATTGCCGCCTCACTGGGTCTGCCAGCTGCCGCTTGCATACTCAGGGTCCACCCACTGTGATCTTGCGTGCCCCTGGATGCCTTACTCGCCTGGTCCCACCGCTCTCTGCTCTCCCTGCCGTGCCCTGCACCTGGCTGCTCATCTCCGCCCCTCCTACCCATCTGGATGAACAGGTTTATTTCAACTTCTTGGCTGTCCAACTTCCATTCAGATAAACTTTCTGTCAGTTCTGGATGTTATTCTGCCTCTAAATTGTTGTTGTTCCAATCTCGGTTGTGGGTGAAGGTTCGGTGCGTCCACCTATGCCTCCATCTTGGCTGGAAGTCCTCTTTCATATATTCTTGACATCAAATGACACACACTAGCAAATATGAACACAGAACCCTAGAAATACAACAAAGGTATTGAGAAGCCATGGCTTCTTCAATTGTTTTCAAAGGGCCCCAGTCCTGGAATTTAAACAAATGTATAAATAAAAAGACTTCAGTAACACCAAACTCATGAACCCATACAACCCTTGCTTTGCAATAGGCATGACAAAGGCTATAGTGGATCATTTCTAAACATCTCTAATCATAGGTTTTAGAACGGAAAAGATTGGGGAAAATAAAGGGAATGTCAAATATTCAGTGTAGGCCTTTTATTTGACAACCAAGAAGAATACAGAGTCCTTGAGAGGTTTGATGATAGACCCAAGCTGTTCATTTTGGGTAGTCAAGAGCAGAACAGAATTTCCATGGACTTTTTCCTCCAAATACTACCATTTTAGCTCCATGTAGACTGTTGAGCACTAACACTGGGAACACAGTGGTCAGAAGGATCTTTCCAAATGGGGACTCAGCAGGCTGAAGGAGGGGCAGGGAGAGACACCCTGCTGTTCAGCAGCGGGTATTGACTGGAGACTGGGATGAGGCCACACATGCCAGCGCTGTGAATTCCTGCCGCAGGCCTGAGAATGGAGTGCAGCTTGTGCTCCAGGGTTTGCCATCCTCATTGTTTCTGCTTGAGGCACTTGGGGATTCGCTGGATAAAAAAAGGAATTTCTTGTTACTGAGTTTAAACTTCAGAATATCTCGCCCTGACCAGTGTGGCTCAGTGGGCTGGGCATCGTCCCTCAAACCAAAGGTCACAGTTTGATTCCCAGTCGGGGCACAGGCCTGGGTTGGGGGTTTGACCCCCAACGGGGGGTTTTCGAGAAGTAACCAATTGATGTCACTTTCTCACATTCATGTTTTTGTCCTTCCTTTCCCTTCTCTCTAAAAAGAAATTAATAAAATCTTAAAAACAAAACAAAAAACCCTTGGAATATCTCAAAGCTGTAAAAAGAATTCTGTGCAAACACGGGCATGAGATCATGCCAACTGATATGAGCTTCTTTAGGAAAGATTTTGCCTAATTTGATCTTTTTGTGAGTAAATGAATGAATGTATTTTGTTTATTTACTTTGTACTCACAAGACTTTTATTCTCTTAGATCAGTCATCTCAACCAGGGCCATTTTTGCCCCCCAGGGGACAATTGCCAGTGTCTGGAGGCATTTTCAGTTGCCACAACTCAGAGAGATGGTAGCCCTGGCATCTAGACTCTAGATTCTAGAGGACAGTGGCAAAGGATGCTGCCAAACATGTGACAATGCACAGGACCACCCCTCAAACAAAGAATCATCCCGCCCACAATGGTAATGGTGCTGAGGTTGAGAAACCCTTACGTAGGCAATTTACCATGGCAGCATGTGACCACTAGGTGGCAGTCATGCCTGCTGTTGAGATGTTAAAATCAAAGGCACTCACTAGAAGCACAGTTGATTGCTATAATCTCTCACACACACACACACACCTTTTAAATTACAAAATGAATTTTTTTGCAACAGATTCAAAGAAACTAGAAGTGTATAAAGTAAAAAACAGTATTTCTTTGTTCCCTCTTCATATCTTATCCTTTATAATTATGCTTGATAAGACCGTCTAGATTCTTACTTATATGTGTATGTGCATATATGTATGTTTATGTATGTACACACATACATATGACTGGTATACTGTTTCTTGTTTTTCAACTCACTTTTAAATCTCAACATTACACTGTAGACATCTTTACAAGAAACTTAGAGCTACCTCATTTTTTAAATAGATGCATAGTGTTCTGATGGGTGGATACAGTATAATTTAATTACTATATTCTCACTTCTGGGCATTTGTGTTCTTTCCAATTTTTTTTTTGCTGATACAAGCAGTTCTGTTGTCATGGTGTTATTTCTGTAGGGTAGAGTCCTGGAGCTGTGAGAGCAGGGTTGGAGTGTTTGTACATTCAGACTCTTGATACACTGGCAGTAGCAATTTGTACTCAGTGTAGGAGAGTACCTGCTTCCCCACACTGTTGCCTACATTGGTGCCTGTCAGCATTTTAAATTTGTATTTTTATAGGGAACCAATCAGCATGACAGTGGCAAACGTAGCCCAGCATTGATCTGGAAAACTGATCAAATGTGAGGCCGCACACAGGAGCCAGGTGTGCAAAGCGGTTTTCCCTGGGGAACCTGCCTGCATTGTACCTGGGCTGCTCTGAGGCTTGCTTTTGCTAAAACTCCCTCACCCTGAGCTAAGACTGCAGATGTTTAATGTGTATTTCTGAAGGAACTCCCTAAGTCTGTGCTAAGACATCCCAAGGACGAAATGTAACCAAATCAATCTTTTTATTGTTCCCTTGCAGTTGCAACTTTTTTCTTTTTTTGTTATCTGTAAGAAGTAATCACTTACCATAAATCTAGAAATGATGAGAACCTTCTTTGATGTAATGTGACTGGAAATTGATAAAAGCTGGTCCAGGCAAGGGTTGAGGCTCTAGAGTGGCCAAGGTGCTCTCTCTCTCAGAGAGTGGCTGTGCCGTCCCTTTTTTCCCACAGGACTTCCGCAGTCTGTGTCAATTTGTTTACGGCATCCACAACACACAGACTCCAGTGGGCCGGAGTCTGCATCAGTGTTTTACTACAGTTCATTCTTAGCAAGGTTGAATATCTTTTCATGTATTCATCTATATTTTCATATGTTTATTAGTCCATGAATTACTGATTTATTTCCTTTCCCCATTTGCACATTGGATTGTTTTCTTTTTATCAGTTTTAGCTAGCTCTATTCATTTTGCTTATTAGTGCTTTGTCTAAAGTTTGTTTTTGAATAAGGATTGAGTTAAGGATAAAATGTAATATTTTCTCAAATAGCTTGTCAACTGAACTGTTAGCATTTATGAAAGAATTTCTTTCTTTCTCATTGTAACGAAATACCTATGCACATGGGTCTATTTTTGGGTTCCATGCTAC